CCCCCCCCCCCCCCCCCCCGCCTCCGAAATGAAATGACACTGCGCGCACCAGGTGCGCCACTGCGTGCGCCCTGCGCACCCCCCAGCGCACTGGTGCTGTGCATCGCACGGCGCAGCGCATTGATGCACCGCAAATATGGTTTGAACACACACATCCTGGTACCAACTGCCTGAGGTAGACTGACTCCCTCTGCACTCCATATCAAACATGTCCCCAAAATGAGGCAAGGACGCAGTCTACCTCAGCGGTTATCTCATTGGGCAGTTCGTACCTCAACACCTACACGTGGGTTTAAACCCCGCCGGCAACCACCAGTCATCAAGCCTCAAACCCAAGGTTTCAGTAACATAAATAATAAATATATTCTCAGATTTAAGTAACATAAATATAGTAGTGGGTGGGTGGGTCGGCAGGCGGACGATGTGCATTCTTTTGCCGCGGGGCCTGCGATGCGAAACCCGAAATCAAAAGTTGAAGCCCCTTGCTGTGGGGCCTGTGTGGCAAAACCCGAAATTGAAAGGGATGAGACATCGCACAAAAACCAAAATCGGGGTGCCCGCATGCCAAAAAATGAAAATCAAAAGGGAGAAAACATCACGGTTGCGCACCCACGCGCATGAGGCGATGCTTCTGCTCACTGCTTGCTCTACCACATCCGGCGTGCTGTTGGTCATTACGTCAGAGAAATGTCAGTCAGACATGGCAGACCTTTCTTGATTCGGCAATTTCTGATTTCCTCTGTTGCCCCTCTGACTCTCCGTCCCTTTCTGACATTCTCTCGAGCCTCTCCATTCACTGACACACTCTGACATTCACAGAGGCTCTCTACGCTCATGAAAATTCCCAAAAGCTCTAGAAGCTGACTGACACAACTTCCCGGCCAGCCACACTAACCACTTGTCCGCTAAACACCCCACCAGGTGGACGTAAGAGAAAGCGTTTCAGGACCAATATCGGCCGTAGGATCCACGATCGGACATAAAAAAGGGGCCACGACGGGCTGTGTCAGTGCCCGCGGCCGATAAAAATTAAACAGATAGAGTAGATCATAATAACAACAACAATGAATGAATGAGCCACATTCCACCCTTAGTCTTCCTTCCAAGTACCATCCCATTAAGGGCCTTTCAGGTGCAGAGCCAACCAAGAAGATGAAGATGCACACCACCATAGCCAAAGCAAACTCCCTTCTTCACTCAGTGACACTCACCTCTTCTTCTTCTTCTTCCTCCTCCTCCTCCTACTTCCTCCTTCATCCTTCTCCCTCACTTCTCCACCATAGCTATGCATTCTCTCACCTCCACCTTGGCCTCTTCCACCATAGCCGAGGTGGAAGCCAAGCTCTGCCTTTGTCCTCCAACCAGCGCCTCAACCAACTAACGAGCGCCCTTCGCAGCATCACGACTTGCAACTTGGACAGGCGGAGTGCCTGGCTGCCTCTTCACTTATACTACAGATGCGCTCCACCACAGGCACTTTCCACGGTACCTGGCCTCTCGCCCGGCCGGTTGCCTCCCCGCATTTGGCGGGAACGTCCTTGCTGTCTGACGTCCTACTTTGCAGGCTCAAGACCTGCCTCTGCCTTTGTCCTCCAACCAGCACCTCACCCAACTGTGAGCGCCTCCAGCAGCATCACGGCTTGCGACTGGGAGAACGAGGCCGGAGTGCCTGGCTGCCTCTTCACTTATACTACAGCTGCACTCCACTGCGGGCACTTTCCAGGGTACCTGGCCTCTCGGCCAACCGGTTGCCTTCCCGGATTTAGCGGGAACATCCTTGCAGTCTGATATCCTACTTTGCAAGATCAAGACCTAGCCTATTGGTCCGGTACCTACCCCTGAGACGGACTTCTAAAATGCTACCCAGCCTTCCCATGCCTTTTTGTCCTGTCTGCTACTCTATCCGCTACTCCCTGATTTTGGCCTCCGCAGGCCTCCTTTCCCCTACTCGACGCGCTGCAACCCCAAACACATACAGCCACAGGTTAGTACCAGGCACGTGTGCCACTGCAGCCCACGGACCACCATCAGTGGATCACATACACACCACACTGGTGCTTAGACAGTCCAGCCAGCACACGGTGGACATATATCATCAAACACTCAGGCCATGGACATGCAGCAGATACAGCCAATCTAAGCAGAACACGGAAATCTCAGCAAACCAGTCCATCAAGCAGCAATACTAAAAAAAACAGCAGATTTCTCAGTATGCAATTTTGCACGTCAGTTGTTTTTTTAACTCCCTCCTGGACTCCCACAAAACTTCTTTTCTCAGTGCTCCAGGCTCAGGAAACTCAACAGGTTCATTTATTTTGCTTCAGGGGCTGTGGTGGTTTTAAGAGATCTAGGATTGACTGTTCTAGTAAATCAACATAATCTGGCACTCACCAGTAGTAGCCCGGGTAGATAGACCCAGCCACAGCCTCCGCGCTCTCGACATCAGAGTCGGGGATCAGTGCCCCGTTCACCACGACCCGCCTCTGGTATGCTGCTTGCGTGTGTCGCTGGGGTGCCTTGAAGAAGTTCAACCACTTTGGCTTATGCTTAGGGTTATGTTTCTTCATTGCAGGTGACAACGAGGGTTGTACTGGGGCTGGGGCTGGGGCTGGGGCTGGGGCTGGGGCTGCTGGGGCCGGGGCTGGGGCTGGGGCTGCAGCTGGGATTGGGACTGGGATAGTGGTAGGTATTGGGGGTGGGTTTGGATGCTCTTTCCGAATGTCAGAATGAACTTGACGAAGTGCATTGTCAGCAGCAGGAGGCGCTGGACGAGCATAATCGAAAGGCACAGGAGGAGGCATCATAACCTTTTCCGGACTCGGGCAAGAAAGCAGAGCAGGTGCAGAAGGAGAAGATCGACAAGGAGCCAGTGGGGATACTTGGACAGGGGAGACAACAGGAGCGTGCAGAGGAAGGGCTGGCATTGCAGGTGGTTCAGAACGAGCTTGAGGTGCAAGGGGAGCTGGAGGTGGAAGCGGGACTGTAGGCTGTTGCGACTTTGTGGAATCAACAATCCCCCGCACCTCCTGCACACGGAAGCAAGCACCACACTTGATCCTCCGCCGCCCTTTTCTGTCCAATGGGACATGTTGAGGCACTTGCAGAGTCTTTCGGCAATTTTCACACTGCACCGTCTTTGGCAGGAGACTTCCAGATTCCGGCCTGCACACACGCTGTCTTTCAGACTTAGGTCTCTGTTCCGCCTTGTCCAATGATGACTCTGATGGAAATCCTGACTGGATTGACTCATTGGTTACTCCATCCACATTTTCATGCCCTCTCTTTTCCCTGGTTACTCGTTCCACATTTTCATGCCCTGGCTTGTCCTGAACTGCAGCTCGATCTGGAAGCTTTCCCTCTGAATCCCCTCTGTTAGCCAGAAAAGACGGAGGCAATCGCAGTGCTGGTGGTGGGGTCAGCCGAGATATGCTGTTGGCACACTCTGCCCCTGCCGGTTTTTGAGGTGTACCCATATCTCCTGCAAGGGGAAGCGCCGACTGGTGCAGCAAGGGCCCAGGGATACCAGTGTGTGCTGGCTCACCAGCAGGTCCATCTACTGGCATTACATCCCTTTGAAGACCACTTCCGCTCCCAATACCAGCTCGTCTAGCAGGGTTGTCACCTGCCTTGCTGATAGGTGCTTCATCTGAAACCGTCAGGTAAGATTTCAGCCACTCAGGCAAGGCAGCATGTGGGTCTTGTTTAACACTGAATGGCTGCTCATCACCACCTGACCTTCTGGGATGGCCATGGACATCAAACTTCTGAGATCCTCCTGTATTTGCCTGCTGTGTTGCCTGATTGTGTTCCTCTGCACATGTAGGCAGCCTGTATCCCCATTCCTCGACATCTGAAAATTTGTTCACGACAGACAAATCCTGAGATCCTGGCGTGGATGATGGCCCTGGAAACCGCGCACATGTACAATCCGCATGTCAGAACAGAGCATCAATTAACTTAGGCACCCCAGGACCGCTTGATTGGAAACTTCACACGAACTTGAAATCCACCGACGACACCCAAATACTGACTGCATGTGGCATTCTTAGTTCCACACGGGCCCCTGCAGGGCCCGACCAGTAGGGTTAGGGTTCCTAGGGGTTAGCAGGCTCAGTTTAGGCCAGATTAGCAGTTAGGCCCTGGTGCGATGTTTCGTTTAGCGTCAGGCCCCTGGTTAGTACCAGCGCCACTTCGCTGAGCCAGGACCCAATGCAGCTCCCCACCCTCTCCTCCTAAATTGAATATAACGCAGAAAAAAAACAACCCTCTAACCTGTTCGAATGCTGCACGCCAGGGTAGCCCAGGGCAACACGGCTACCAGAACATCCATAGCAAGTAACAGGGACAGAGGAGAAATAGAAATCAGATCATGGAATGTAAGAGGGCTAGCATCCATCCTGTCAACACCAGCAAAATGGCACAGCTGTGTGGGCACGTCAGGCTGGTTGGACAATAGACCCCCGGACATTCTATGCATCCAAGAAACACACTTATCCACAACAGATGAGCATCAGAGCATTCTTAAAGAAATTCTAAGAAGACTAAAGCTTATCAAACACGCAGAATGGGCGGCCAGTCCTGCCTCAGCCTCAGCAGGAGTATTAACAATAGTAAATGAGAAGGCAGATACCTCCCATCTTCTAACAATAGAAGGATCCACGAAGGATTTGCAAGAGGGCCGGTGGACAAGGACTGACTTCTCGTACAGAGAAGAGGAGTTCGCCATACTCAACGTTTATGCGCTGAACACAAACGCACAAAGAAGAGTGTTCATAGAAAAAATAAAGCAGGAATGCCCAGTCCTTCGGGACATCCGTTAAAATTGGAACGATACAGAGAATGAAGATTAGCATGGCCCCTGCGCTTTCAAGGATGGCACGCATAAATCGAGAAATGGTCCAAATTATTAAAAAAANAAAAAAAAAAAGCAGGAATGCCCAGACCACAGACACCTAATTCTAGCAGGAGACTGGAACGCCACACTAGACCCAAACCTAGACAGAATTTCACACGCCAGGGATTCATCAGAAGAGTCGGAGGCCCAGGTAATGGTAGATTTCCTCACGGAAAGGAACTTAAGGGACCCGTACGGAATGCTAAGCCCCACAACAAAGGATTACACCTGCCTAAGGAAAACAACACAAGGAAGAACCTCATTTTCAAGAACAGACTACTTTCTCACCTCCGAATTGCTAGAAGGAGCAGTGAATAAGGCAACGATTTTTAAGCTCCCTTATTACGGGGACTTTGACCACAGCCAAATAGGACTACACTTATCATTTTCCTTAAACAACACACCAGGCAAAAGCTTCTTTAAACTGAACAACTCCCTGATTACTCTAGAACATTTCAAGAAAGGAATCAAACAAGTCTGAGAAGCCCACACACAAGAAGAAAACAATGCAGAAATCTTAAACAGCTTGCCAAAAGCAATCGGAGAGGAAGTCGTACCAGTTGGTCTTGATGAACCAGAAATTCCACTTAGATGACGACCAGCATATGCAAGCTCACCACAGGTTAGACTGCACAGAGGTTAGGTGAATGAAGGATAGAGAGGGTTGCAGGAAGAGAAGAGACTTGGGGGTGGAAACTAATCAGATGGCCATGTTTCAAAGGTATGTTCCAGATTAAAAGGGCGATGAAATTGGGCAGTGGAGAGTTGCAGCATGAAGGGCAGCAGCAAAATAGACCGTTCTGCAGAGAATCACACTCGGAAGGGGTAGTTTACTTACGTAGCGGGGCGCCACAATTCCCGCAAACAAACGAAGCAGCACGAGGCTTCACCACAGTCGCTTTACACGCAGGACAGTCGACTACAAAGTCAGTCTCTGTCACAGTCGACACAGGCTCTGTCATCATGGACGTCGTTGCCATTGATGTATCTCCACAAGTAATTATTTTTGTGGCCCTTCCTTTTCCTTCTCTTACTCTTTTGCTCTACAGCTGCAAACGATGGTACAAACGTAGTGTTGTTGAAACAAATACTGACAACAGCGATACCAATTAAGATTGCTCTTCTTACCCCCCTTCAATCGCCTGCACACATCATCCATAGATTAATCAATTACTTATCAGTACTACAAGGAAACCCTGAATTACACCATCAGTTCAAAAAATGAGGGTCATTCAATGGACAGCCTCCTGCCAAAAAAAAAGTAGAAAAACAAGGACCCACAGAGCTGCCGGGAAATTTTGTGCTGAAAAGGAGAACAGAACAGAAAAATGGGGCTCCACTGCTTGTTCAGCTCGACTAGCGCACTATTCTTTTGCCTTTTAGCAAAGAATACCATTGGGAAAAAGAAAAAAGATATGTCACGGTATGACAATTACTAACCAGTTTTCCATTTTGATACACCACTATTCAAGTTCTCCACATGGAGCTTGATGTTCTTTAGAAGGCTTTCCGAAAGCGATATCTAAACCAACAGCAGGGACACTCGATAGTAATTATTGTTTGAACTTCAGTCTTATGTTCTCCAAGAATTTCAGAAACTTCCACACTTCCGCACTTCCTTTTTTTCTCGTTTTTTTAGTTCCGCACTTCCACACTTGATAGGGATAAGATCTCACACTCAATTGCAAACTTCCCACAACATTGGAATTAAGCACTATCACCAGAATAGTTTATAAAAGCAGGAAAAACTTCTATGGAATTGAATGCCCTGCCTCATGAGAAAAAGGCAACACTCAGGTCAAGAAAGGTAGATTGAACATCAACTTCCACCTGGCTCTGGCTGCCACCCTCTCTCATACACCCAGCGCTGAAAATAGTGCATCTCAAGTTTCACAAAGCACCAAAATTTTGATGAACAATTTCTGAATGAGAGTTCTGCCCCGGCTTGTCACTCTTGACAATCTGTGCCTCCCATAGACCAGAGTTTGCACAGCTCCTTATCTGGTATGTATACTGCTGGAGGGCACTCTGGCTCAGAGTCCGAGCTAGTGAAAACAGTATATCTCGAAGTGAGGTACTACGGTGCACCTAATCACTTGAATCCGCTTCATTTCGTTCTTAACATGCAATCAACCCGGAAAACTGAGGGCTACCGTCTTCCCCCGAACATATTGCATATGCGTTGCATTCGAGCTTTTCCCAAAAAAAACGGTTTTTGGAAAGTTAGACGGAACTTGGACCCTTTTCTTACAATAGGAGGGCACTTCAAATGTAAGTTATATAACGCATATGCTTTGTATTCAAAGAAAACGCCTATGCCTTCTATTCAAATTTCACAAAGAGAAAACTGTTCTATTCGGATTTACTTTTTTTTTTTTTTTTGCAGGTAGCGCCTGATCTCTCTCTCTCTCTCTCTCTCTCTCTCTCTCTCTCTCTCTCTCTCTCTCTCTCTCTCTCTCTCT